CCAAATGTTTTTTTAAGCCTACTTCACTGCATTATTAGAAGTTGTACAGGACCTTTTCTTCTCTTTTAATAAACAAAGTGAGATTGTMCGTGCTCCTAATGAAAAAAGGAAAAACATTGTTTATGAGCACACCAGTCCTGACTTTGTGTAAAGTCTGTAAAGGTTTTTTTAATAGTCACAGTTTAGAATTTATTTTGTGAGACTCAGAATAAATAAATATTGTAAAAAGAACAAATTGTCAGCGTTTTGTAAAGCTTATACATGACATGACAAAAACAAGCTGTTATAGAAGGTTTTTTTTTTACAGGCTAATTCTTTATATTTTTGTTTGAACATGTTTCATACATATAAATTTCACACCCCGCCTTTAAGGACCTTTGTGATGCTCTATCATCCATTTACAAAATAAAACAACAACTTTCATCAAACTTTATCTCACCTTTTCTGTGAAGATCCACATGGAGCCTCCTCCACCGTAACGTCTCTTGGGACTGAACATGGAAGTCATTTCTACTTTCGGTTATCTAGCTTTATGAAAGGAGATTAATACTCATACAGCTAGATAACCAAAGATAAAAACAGACCCCTCCCCACTCCCCCTCCTCTCTCTCACACAGACATGCAGCTCAACATGATGATCTGGAAGAAGGTAAAAGGCCTTAAAACGTCCACATTTCAGGTTTAAATTAGGCTTTATTTTTAAATACAGCTTAAAAAAACTGAAAATAATAAATGAAATAAAAAATAGGAAGCCTTGTGCATCAATTAATTATGTTGTTTTTGCTCTTTTAGGAATCAATTAAGACGATTAGGCCTCTATTTCAGTCACATCACGAAAAGGCCTGCTGGTGGTTTGATGTATCTTTTTTTTTTTAATTATTTAAATTTCAGTGAGAGAAATACTGATTCATGTATACATTTACTGAATACATGTTCACTGTAGGGAAAAAAAACTTGCATTATTTTCTAAATGATAACAGAAGCTGTGCAATGATGTCATCTGCACGTGCTAAAAAATACACTTCAACTTTTWTTATCAACAAAAATGTAGTTTTTAATTGCAGGAGAACCATCACTTGTGGTTTGRATTAAATTTAAACATGCAACATGTAAAATCAACGACATTTAGTTAAATTAGAAAAGGTTTGTTCTAAATGTACATTTTTTTAATTTAAATTTTAGTCTCATAAAATACCTTTTTCTCAGCGTGTGTCCCAACACTTTATACAAATCTGTCTTATCTTTCATTTGTTTACACTATTTTGACATATTGCTCTAACTTTGTTTCGATGTAAACTTTAATATGTGTGCATATATATCACCTTTATATATTAGAATAAAATAAGGTTTTCTTTAAAAGGCTTTAAAGGATCAAATGTGATAAAAAGGAGTGTGTGGGCCTGACAGCATCTTCAGGTYAAGAAATGATGCTCTTAAATCTTCAGATGACTCTTCWAAAAATTAAAGAAAAAAATCTTTATTTTTTTAATTTTTATTTTAATTTTATCCAAACTGAGCTGAGCTTCAATGATGCCTTAATTTGCTCTTGACTCTTTTGTACTCTTGAGGGCAAAGAATCCTCACTTTTAATGAGAGTTGGGATTGGCCTACTTCTTCCAAAACTAGATTATTTCACCCCAGAAGGATTAATTTGTTACTAAAATCGATTTATTCCTGAGCATAATGAAAGAAAGTAAAGGGAAATAGCTATTTGATATTTTGAAGGTTTATATAACAAGGGYTTTTGCGTAAAAGAGCAAATACCTTTTGTGTTTCACCCATTTTTTGTGTGACAAACTAGCGTTTCAACTATTTAAATCTAACGTTTAATCGTGTAAAAGACGAACTGAATTAAACGCTCATTATTAGTGCCCTGAACGGATTTATTTTCCTCAGATTGAAAGCAGGTGGAAATGATGTTCGTGCAGAAATTTGACCCAATCSCAGATGCTGTTCTTACCTGTTTCAGCTGCATGAAGCCCGCAGGAGAAAACGTCCTCGGCTTTAATTTGCGCTGACGTTTCCTGGCGGATATTCTTTAATAATTTTACTCTTAATATTAGAAATATTTCTGTCTTTTCATCCGATCCGCGCAGACAGCTCGAGCCGCGGCGCTCCGCTCCACCTCCGTCCTCTCTCCTCCTGCATCGTCCTCTCCTCCAGCCTGAGCTCTGCCTCTACTGACAACCAGCTCCATCACTGACGTCATCCAGGACCAGGGCCGCGGACGGACCAATCATAGAGCCTCTCTCAGCCAAAGAACGTCAGTAAAGGTAAGATGTCTCACTTCGAGCTGTTTTCTGTACCTCGTTTCTTTTCTACACAATAAATAATTAGGCTGCTTTAGTAATTCTTGATCAAAACACTGCTGTATTTTTTTTATTTCACTTTTCCAATAAAACATCTTTGAGGCGTGAGTTTCAAGTTAACATTAATGACCATAAGAGCTAATTGAATTTTCTTCCAAAGAAAATTGAATTGGAAAAGTGTCGTCAAGTGTTTTCAAGCTACTTTGATAAACTCTTCCCTGGAAAAAAAAAATCAGACTGAGTTATTTTTTATCAGATTTCAAGTTGTTAATGTTAAAACTGGCAAAAATAATTTCTAGTTGCCTTTCAGTGACACAGCAGATGAATTAGATCATGGACAACATGACAAGTGGATGATTCAGTAGACAGATTGGTGCATATTCTGTTGTGATGGCAGCCTGTCTGAAGGCCTAAAGCAAAAGAAACTGTAGAGGTTAGCCACTTTGAGGGAAACAGTGCAACTCAAAAGGACAGATGGATTCAAGAGGGATATTTTGTGACATATTTTTTGCATAAGAGCCTGTCCTGAACACAGCCAGGCAATTCACCTAGGGAAGAGCGTGGTGGTGAAGAACAGGGTCCAAATGCAAGGTCAGATGGTTTTCCTTGTTCCAGTGACACTATATCCTGAGCAACATAATAATATCAACCTCAAGATGGTTCACAAATGTGTCTTATGCTCTTGGTCTTTTCACCCTTGTCAGTTTAATTAAAGCATGTGAATGAGGGAAGCATGCGGGTGGGTCAGAACAAAAGACTGGAAATTTGTGACTGGGTTATGCAGGAAGAAAAACAAACAAGGGAACAAGGCAGGCATGGATGGAGTCAAAAATAATTATCATGTTCAACCAAATGCAGTGATGTGAATTATCAATGATAAATAAATTTTAGAATATGACCTCCAAATATGACTTGCCCAATCTCTCACAAGCTTACAACAGCTTATTTTCTGCCTCCATTTTCAAAGGTTCAGCGTTAATTGTTCACTCAACCATCCACCATTTCCTGTCAAGCTTTTCTGGACTTGGATCTACTGTTGTTTTAAACTTCACATAAGTTAAATAATTTTAAACAGTAGGCTGATTGATTTAGGTTTAGTGTTGAACCCAGAAAACAGACTACAGTTCATGTTATCCTGACTGGGCTTTCCTGAAAGCAGACAGGAAACACAGACAGGATTCCATGCAACCTTCAGGTGAAAATGAAGACCCCAAACCCAGACCCAAACCAGTGGTTCTTCCGTATGTTGCGGGTGTTTCGGAGAAACTGAGACGTTTATTTTCTAAACATGATGTCCCAGTYGCTTTCAAACCCCAAAACACATTGCGGCAAAGGCTGGTTCACCCCAAAGATCCGGTGCCCCGACACAAACAGAGCAACGTTGTATATGCTGTTGAGTGCCAGGAGGACTGCGCCCAGTTATACATCGGGGAAATAAAGCAGCCACTGTTCAAAAGAATGTCCCAACACAGACGAGCTACATCTAATGTCCAGAACTCTGCAGTTTTCACTCATTTACAGGKCAGCGGTCACTCTTTCAGAGATGAGGATGTTCTCATTCTTGATAGAGAGGAACGTTGGTTTGAGAGAGGAGTAAAAGAAGCCATTTTTGTGAAGAAAGACCGTCCATCATTAAACAGAGGTGGAGGCCTCCGTTTTCAGTTGTCCCTCTCCTACAGCGCTGCTATTGCCAGTATCACTCCACCCCCTGTTAACAATAGGTGTTAATTAGGTGTCAACGATAGCCATGTGATGTGAGTATCAGTCACATGGAGGCAGGGCTTAAAAAGCCTGAATTTTGCCTGAAACTCTCAGACCGAAGAAGTCTCTTGGAGGAGAGACGAAACGTTTCATTAGAGAAGAACCCGTCCAGAAGACCTATACAATTTTTTTTCTTTTTCATGTTTGGAACAGGTTTTCACATTTTTCTATAGTCTTATCTTATTTTTGGATAAACTTTACACAGGAATATTTAACGAACAAAACTGTCAGCCAGGACATGAAATTTCACTCATTATTAGGCTACCACACAACTTGTAAAAAACTGTACAATGTGTCTATGAAACGTGAAAGCCACTGTGTATGTGTAATTGAAAGTGCTGACCGAAAAATTAAATTGAACTAAAATTGGCTGAGAATTCCTTCAATTTTGGGCTTAGATCCACATGTATATGGAGAACAAGGGAAGAATTTCCTTGAATCCCTATCAGCTGCATGGGTCCAAAATTTCAGATGAGATAAAGTTAAACATGAGTTTTCAATCAACAGTGCATTTGCAGAAAGCTGATGAGATTTTGACCACATTGGATTTGGATACAGCACAGAACGAGTAAAAAGAGATCAATCTGATCGGTTATTAAGGGAGCAAAAACYCGACCGCGGCAGGACTCGAACCTGCAATCTTCTGATCCGAAGTCAGACGCCTTATCCATTAGGCCACGCGGCCTTTTCTAGAAWTGTTTCAGCAACGCTTCCTCACCAAAATACACCCAAAACATGCACCTGCGTGTTTACATACATTGTATTATGGTGTGAGACATAGATATTGACGATTTCAGTAGAATAACAAATGCTTACATCTGCGTATACACTAMCATTTCTGCCGCCATTTTCCTGAATATGTTTAAAAATAATTCAATCATCCGCACCGCGTGAGGGCGCTGAAGTGCAACATTCTACCTGGTCATTCAACCTCTTGGTGGGGACGAATGCTAAGGTACTAGCTTGTCTGATTTATTTTTTATGAATATTCAAGTGTGAAAATCAAATTATYACACAAGTCAACTAGATTACACGCTTCGCTTTAACAGTTTATCTCGTGTAGTTTCGCGGTGGAAAACATATATTTTGGAGATTAACAGCACGTGCGAACGGAGAGTTTGTAAACACGCGTGGGTTTGGAAGAAGCATGACTTACGTGTAAAACCCACTAAGTTATAGTTTGTTAAGCTGGAACATCAGCTGTTTTAGAAGAAAAGCATTAGGTGAAAGGAGGACAAAAACTCTGAGGTAGTATAAAAAAATATTAGGTTTAACTGAAAAAGTCTGAGAAACTAAATCATTCATAAGCTTGAGTTCAGTATAATTTATATTATTCGTTCTTAAAAAGATTGTAACATGATGTAACAAAACTGTTTTATGTTATTTTATTGTTAGGTTGTCTTCCAGCCCTCATGAGGTGATGCTGCATTTGCTCCGCCCCCCTCTTCAGAGGACTCTCTTCTGTCTACGATGGAGGTGCCCAAGCTCCTTCTTCTCCACCGAGCCTCACTCAGTCCAGGGCGAGGACTCACCAGAGACCCGCCGGAACCCCCTAAACATTCAGATGCTCTCCAGAAACCTCCACGAGCAGATCTTTCGTGGCGTGGAGCCCGAGTACAGAGAGCACGACGTCCAGCACAGCATCAGGCACTTGGAGAAGCACAACCTGTGGGGGAAAGAAACGTCGCTGTTGCCAGACGTCGAACTCAAACTCCCGCAGATGTARGGGCAAAACATCGATGAGCACTTCCGCATCTTAGCTGAGAAGCAGAGCCTTCCCTACCTCGAGGCTGCCACTGAGCTGCTTCGGGCCGAGCTGCCTCCCATGCCTCAGGAGTGGAGCTGGGAGGTTGGGTGGACGCGTTACGGGCCCAACGGGGAGAGTCAGATAGTTGATTTCCCAGATGAGTCCGCCCTAGTGTTTGATGTGGAGGTGTGCATTTCGGAGGGGCAGTGCCCTACACTGGCAGTTGCTCTGTCTCCTACCAACTGGTGAGAAACATGACAGAAATGTAAAAATCAGACAGAAAAAGTGACTTAAGGCTGAGTACCTGAGTTTCGTGAAAGCTTGTCCWGTGGCTCGTGAGATATTTTACTAACAGCTGCTCTCTTCTTCAGGTACTCCTGGTGCAGTAAACGTCTGATTGAGGAACGATACTCCTGGTCGAACCACCTGACCCTTGCTGACCTCATTCCACTAGAAACACCTTTCAACTCCACTCGCCCTCCCGGGGGTCAGTGGAAGGAGAGGCTCATAGTGGGCCATAATGTCAGCTTTGACAGATCCTATATTAAGGAGCAGTACCTTCTAAAAGTTAGTATTTAGAGTGAGGTGAGTTTTGTGCTCTTTCTTGTATTCACTTGTCTGCTTGTGCTTTGCCGCAAGGGTTCTAAAATGCGCTTTATGGACACCTTGAGCCTTCACATGGCCATCTCTGGGCTGACGGCGTTCCAGCGCTCGCTCTGGATGGCCAAAAAGCTGGGAAAAAAGAGGGGTCTTCAGGAGGTCAAGAAGCACATTAAGAATGCTGGACAGAAAAAGGAGGGACTTGTGGTTTGTTTTTGTTCTAACCCTCTGCTTCATTAATTCTAGTAGATTTATTAAATTTGTGTATGTTTTTTTTTTTTTTTTTTTTTTTMTTTRACAGCAGCAAAACTTAACTCAATATATTGTTTTGTTTGTAGGTTGGCTCCTGGGACTGGGTGAATATTAGCAGCATTAACAATCTGGCTGATGTCCATGCTTTATACGTGGGAGGGCCACCGCTGCAGAAAGAGGCCAGAGACATTTTCGTGAAGGGGAGCATGGTTGATGTCAGGAACAACTTTCAGGTCAGGTTTTTTTTTTTTTTTTTTACAAAGTATCTGTTAGTGATTTACAGCAATGCTGGATGAAGTTGCTTTTGTTGCCCCCTTCAGGAGTTGATGCAGTACTGCGCCTTGGATGTCGAGGCCACACATCAGGTCTTCACTGAGCAGATGCCCCTCTTCATGGAGCGGTCGGTGCATCCCAACCCTGTTTATTTTTCCTCTTTAATAATGTTCTGGCTTAATCAGATGGTCCACTCTGTTTAAACACACCTATTGTCACAAAGTTATTCCGATTTTCTGCATTTTAAAAGGTGCCCTCATCCGGTGACATTCGCTGGAATGCTGGAGATGGGTGTCAGCTACCTTCCTGTCAACCAGAACTGGAGCCGGTACCTGGAAGATTCTCAGGAGGTTTACGAAGAGCTCCAGAGAGAGATGAAGAAGTCTCTAATGACTCTAGCTGATGATGCATGTCAGCTCCTGGATGGGGACATGTAGGACGATCAAGCGTTCGCCGTATTAATGTGCTTCATTTTAACGATGAGATTGATGATGTCACAAGGAACGTTCACAATGCGTGTGGTTTGTTTTCAAAGGTACAAAGACGACCCCTGGCTTTGGGATTTTGAGTGGGATGTTCAGGAGTTTAAGCTGAAGAAAGTGGTGGCCAAGAAGAAAAATGCAGAAAAAGCAGCTGAGACACAAACCGCCACTCCTCTTCCAGACTGGGAAGACGGTAAAAGTTCAGACTCTTAAAATGTATTTAAAAGTTATTGTTTTATAATTCAGTGTTTTGTTTATTTGCTGTAACATTTGTTTAATTGTCTCTTTATTTATCTTGAACATAACATCTGTATACAGTAAATAATACAAAAGAGAAGAGGAAATAAGTAAAAAAAATACATAAAAACTGTTCATGAATGGGCACGATGAGGCAACTAGCTTATCAGCTGTATCTTCTTACAACTTCCAATCCAGCTTTATTTGTAAAGAACTTTTAGCACCACAGCAGACCAAAGTGCTGTACAGAATCAACATTCCAACACAGCTCATGCATAAAACATATTCAATCAAAAAATACAGTAAAAACACAGAAAAAATAAAAGCAGAGAACAAAAAACAAACAGGACATATAAAACAAAAATAAAAATTTTAAATCTACAATAAAAACGAAACAAAAAATTTCTACAAATAAAATCTGAAATAAATTGACAACACAACCCCCTACACAGTGTCAAAAGACAAACAACATAAACCTACATGCTCCCACCCAAAGTGAGAATTTACATTTTTGAATATCAAAAATAAAAGTACATTTAACCAAATATCTCAATTATTAATGCAACAATAATAATGGTTAAAGTCATTTTATCAATAACTGTTTATATATGTGTTAATTTTTTTAATTATTGTACATTTAAGAGAGCATGCTAACAAAGTTACAAAAGGGAAAAAAACAAACAAACAAACAAACATGTTTGTATGATTTTAGACCCAGGCCCTCCGTCTGAAGAGGAGATGGAAGGACAGTGTCCCAGCAGACTGGCTGTTGAGAAACTCAAGGAAACCGCAATTCGACTTCCAAAGAGAAGGCAACATCTTCCTGGACATCCAGAGTAAAATTATTTTAAGATGACTGGCTTTCATTTTCCTCCTCTGTTTGCCCAGATGAAGTCCGAGTCCATCCGTCCTCTCTCCTGTTGTTGTCCAGGTGGTACCGTAAGCTGTGTGAGAAGATGTCTGAGGACAGCTGGTCCCCTGGAGCCAGCCTCATCAGTCTCCAGATGAGAGTGACACCGAAGCTGATGGGTCTGACGTGGGATGGTTTCCCCCTGCATCACACGGGGAAATACGGGTGGGGGTATCTGGTACCTGGCCGCTGGGATACCCTGCACGAAGTGGAGGAAACGGCAGGAATGGTGTGCCCGCACAGGTATGCTACCTGCTTTCTGATCAGCCTAGCACAGGGGTCTGCAACCTTTACGATCAAAAGAGCCATTTCTGCTACTTGACGCACTGATAAAATGRGTCCAGAGCTGCAAAACAAGCTACAATTGCGATTATCAACTGGTGGTCTGGGGGCTTTTTTGAGGCCTTTTCTGGAACCTTTATGGCCAGTGGAGGTGGCATTATAAAACTAAAAATTACATTGTGAATCTTATTATTTATTATTATTGTTACACATCAGGACAGATGAAAAGACTATATTCATGTTAACAAGAAAAATACAACAAATTTCATAAAAACGAATAAAACTATTCAGGCAGTTTTTTTTTTTCTAATTTAATTCTAATGGATTTGAGAGAAAGATCATAGAAAGAAGATGGATRGTTATAAGTATACAACAGGCTAGCATGAGCATATCAACATGTTTTAGTTGTTGTAATATTGATCACATATTTGCATACATATTGATTTCTGCTGTGGGTATAAAAAAACAAACACAAAAATATTCTGTTATGTTTGGCCATGTATTCAAAGAGCCACTGCTGAGGGACCAAAGAGCCACATGTGGCCCCAGAGCCACAGGTTGCAGACCCCTGGCCTAGCAAGGATATGTAACCTTGAAGCTTGCACTGCTCTAAGCAGGTTCAAGAATTTCCATGAAATATGTGGACATGTGTGAAAATCTTTACATGACACTTTTTAATGAACAGAAATACACAAACATTACAAAACAAAAAGTCATGCTGCAGAAAACTGGGGTGACTCATTTGCCTTTCTTGTGAGGAAATCTCTCCTGCTGCACGTTTAAATGGACAAACTTCATGTGTGAAAACAGCTGCAGGGGGCTGGGGAATACTTTAATGTGTGTGTGTGTGTTAAAGCCTCATCGTGTGTTCCACAGTGCGATTGAGCGCGTTTACAAAAAGTACTGTGAGCAGAACAGCAAGGAGCAGCCCAAATGTCTGGACTCGGATCCCCCAGAGGACCTCATGTGGACAGACAGCACCGTGTGGACGAAGGTGCAGAAACTCAAGCTCACGACTTTTTGACTTTTTAYGATTTACAGTTTTTGGTTTACTTTAGATATATTTTTTTTGTTCTGTTTTATCAGTCGGGGTGTAATCGATCAGGCCTACAGTCAGACCAAGCATGTTTATTTATTTTTTCCCATTTCATTTAAAGGTAGAAGAGTTGAGCTCCTTGGAAAGTTTCCCAGAAGAAAACGACATTAGCAATGTGAAAAATGAGCCAATAACGAAGAGGGTGAGGATTGTTTCATTTTTTCATTTCATTTATTCATTTCATTAAAAAAATAATACAAAATAAAAATAAAATAAAACCCAAAAAACTAATAAAATGAAATGAAAGGCAYCAGAAAGAAGAGAAAAAAATCTTACAATATCTGTGCCTTTTCTCCATCAAATTTATCAATAATAATCTTTACGCAACAAAACAAAATTAAAAAGTAAAATTTAAAAAAACCATCAAATTGTTCTTGAACTAATAATCCATTATAGGCAGGTCCTTTTTTACATTAGTTGTTCGAATATGAGCAGGTAAAATATACAATATCTTTTGATTTCCTGCCCTTCTCATACTCGTAACAAACATTTAAATGTTCTCACACCAGATAAACATAAATTATTCCCACATTGAATAAATCTTACATTCTCATCCTTACATGTACAATTATTTATACGTTTTTAATATAAATAATATTGAGACACCCATCCTACATAACATATTTCCCAGTAAGCTCCTTTTTAACAAGCTGGTTTATGTTTGTACTTTTTTGAGCTCATCATTTAATCCATTCCATAAATCTACCCCTCACACTGATAAACAAAAACACTTTTTGGTTCTAATACATTGTTTTTTCAATTTTCCTTCCTTTGTGTATTGCAAACACTATAATAAATTCTTTCACGCTCCTTAAAGACTTATTATTTTAAAGTGTCTGTCTGTTTTGTCCAGTTACCTGAATTAACTGTAATTTATTATACATTACACTTTTTAATTTTTGACAGGAAAACCAAGATCCACATTTTGCCGACGAGGTGAGCCAATGCCATTATCACCATGGAATTGGCCCCTACGACGACGTCGATGTTCCAGGCTGCTGGTTTTTTAAATTACCTCATAAGGTGAGCCGCTCGCTTCAGAATGACCAGCACTGACACAATATGGCTCCACGAAGCTTTTCGTGAGTCTGACTGAATATCTGTGCTCGCAGGACGGTCATCACAACAACGTCGGCAGTCCTTTTTCCAAAGACTTCCTYACTCAGATGGAGGACGGGACTTTAAGAGCAGGAAGAGGTGGAACCAACGCAACCCGAGCTCTGGAGATCAACAAAATGATGTCCTTCTGGAGGAATGCTCACAAACGTATAAGGTAATTCATCTGTTTCGAGGAGGATCCTTCTTATTACAATCAGATCAACTAATATGAATCTGTTGGCAGCTCTCAGATGGTGCTGTGGCTAAGGAAAGGAGAGCTTCCTCATAATGTCAGCAGGTTTGTTTGGCTTGTTGAAAGTAATTCTCTATTATTGGACTAATGTACTGATTGTACGTAACGATTTGTTTCTTTCCTGTCTCCCAAAGACACAAAGACTTTAATGAAGAGGGTCAGTATGGTGCCATATTACCTCAGGTTATCACAGCGGGGACAGTAACTCGTCGGGCTGTGGAGCCAACATGGCTGACGGCCAGTAACGCCCGGGTAAGATGCTGACGTCTATCCCAACACACGTCGGAAGTTATTTGTTTAACATAATTTGGACYAGGAGTTTGCTCAGCTGGCATTTATTTTTCTTCACAGAAGGACCGGGTCGGCAGCGAGCTGAAGGCCATGGTGCAGGTTCCACCTGGGTATCACCTGGTGGGAGCAGACGTAGACTCGCAGGAYTTATGGATTGCTGCAATACTGGGAGAAGCTCAGTTCGCCGGCATGCACGGTAAAATCTGTCCCTGGGAAATCTAGTTGAATTCCAAAAATATGCTTTGCTTTTTTAAAACCGTTTATGTATAATTGTGTAAAAGCTGCTAACGCAGCCGCTCTGCGGTGCAGGTTGCACAGCGTTCGGCTGGATGACCCTTCAGGGAAAGAAGAGTCAGGGAACGGACCTACACAGTCGAACCGCCGACGCCGTGGGCATCAGCCGCGAGCACGCTAAAGTGTTCAATTACGGACGCATTTATGGCGCAGGACAGGCATTTGCAGAGAGGCTGCTGATGCAGTTTAACCACCGGCTGAATCAGACGGAAGCTGCCAGCAAGGCCAGGCAGATGTATGRCTTAACAAAAGGCTTACGGAGGTGAGCTCAACGAGGTGAACAAGTTTGTCTGTAGGTAGAACACATGGCTGAGCTCCAGCCCAGCATTGTGATCATATTTTTGACAGGTATCAGCTGTCAGTGGAAGGAGAGTGGCTGGTCAATGAACTGAATATAGATGTMCAGAGAGGAGAGGATGGAACCGTCTCACTGGAGGAGTTGCGGAGGATCAATAGATTGGCCGCAAAGTGGTGATGTAGCCAAAAAAAAAAACCTCAAACATTTGCAACCTTTCATTGTATTCCTGCCAGTTCTTTAATGTTCCCTCCGTGCTCCTTARAATCTCTCAGCTCTCGGCGAAGAACGTGGGATATCGTCGCCAAACGTGTCTGGGCCGAAGGCACAGAATCYTACATGTTCAATAAGCTGGAGAGTATAGCTCATTCAGCCCAACCAGCCACTCCCGTTCTGGGCTGCAGGATCAGCAGAGCTCTGGAGCCCAAGGCAGTCCGAGATGAGGTGAGAAACTCCTAACGAAACCACATTAAATTCACAAATTCTCCATTTTATTGAACGCAGACATCCCTCAGTAGGTGTAACCATCTGAGGAGAATCATGACTGAAAATGAGTACGGTGTTTGGATAGCTGAAGACTCTAACTTGACCTCCTCACTGTCTTTCAGTTCATCACCAGCAGAGTGAACTGGGTGGTCCAGAGCTCTGCAGTAGACTACCTGCATCTGATGCTGGTGGCCATGAAGTGGCTGTTCGAGGAGTACAGCATCGACGGACGTTTCTGCATCAGCATCCACGATGAGGTCCGGTACCTCGTCCGCAGTGAAGACCGTTACAGAGCAGCCATGGCACTGCAAATCACAAACCTTCTTACCAGGTCTGGCTTATATTCTGTTGAAATCTGTACTCCGTGGTGGGCAGGTAAAACAGCACGTACGTTTTTTCTGCAGGTGCATGTTTGCCCATGCATTAGGCATGCAGGACCTTCCACAGTCTGTTGCGTTTTTCAGTGCTGTTGATATCGACCAGTGTTTGAGGAAGGAGGTCACTATGGACTGCGTGACCCCCTCTAACCCCACAGGACTGGAACGAAGATACAGTTTTAAACCTGGTGAGTTTTTGACAGTAGCCATGTTTTAAATAAGGAATGTTTAATACAGGATACACAAAAAGGAGTCAGTTCTTCAGGAGTTAAAAATAAACCTTACACTCTAGCCAATTCAAGGAAAACAAAACCAAATAAAGAAAAAAAAACTAATCATTTTATATTGAAGGCAGACTTTTATTTAGCTTAAATTTCATACAGTTTATTTTTGACATTTTGTTTAGTTTTAGAAAATGCACCTTTTTTACTTGTCTTGAAAAAATTCAGTCATCTTTTTAGTGACMTATCCCAAGCTCAAGCAAATCATGTTTATGCGAGTACACTGAACATAAACAGAATAATAACAAAAGTGTGATAAATCAAAAGAACTCTTTGGAAAGTTTGGGTTTAAATCATCCTGAATCCTTCTCTCAGTYTAGTGTAAACATTTCAGGCTGCACTGTAAATAAAACTGCACTATACTGTGATTAAGAAACTTGTTAAAACTAAACACTTTGTTCAGAAATCAAAGTAGTTCTCAACAACTCTTCAAATACGAACAAAAAACAACCAAGATTTATATTCTAAGTAAAGCAAAACAAATTGTACTGTGTACTTTGTTTGTACTTTTAAATATTAAAAAAAATGCATGTTTTGTTTTTAAATAAAGTGACAAATGAACTGACATTTTGCAGGRGAGGCCTTGGACATCTATCAGATCATCGACATCACTAAAGGCTCTCTGCACAAAGCAAGATAACAGTTGATGCAAGAACACGGTTCATCAGCAGCTTGGATTTAAAAAGAAAATAACGGAGGCGCTCGATACCAGCTCACTGTTTTCTCTTCTTCTTTTTGGGTTCCTGTGTCTCCTCTTTGTCCTGTGACTCCTCGGTCTGAGAAATGGGAGGGGATAAATAAGAATCCTCCAAACAAAATATGACTCAAACCATTGAAAAGTAACTTTTTTTTTGCTACATGCACCACGAGGGGGAAACTCTTGGGTGAACTCTGTCAACTTATGTCTCACTAGAAAAACAGAAGAAGCAAGAAAAGTCCCCAGAGATAAACAAAATCGTGGTTTTATAAGACGTACCTCCTGACTGTCAGCCTGCTCGTGCAGAGCTGCATCCAGGCACGCGGCATTGATGCGGAAGTCTCTAGATGTGCTCAGCTTCATGTACTGCATCAGATTAACCTGGACAAATGTATGCACACATCTTACTGGAAGGTTAAATGAARGATAACGCACAGTGTTGAAAAGAAGTTGTTTAGTTATTCATGTTAAAATATACATAACTTGTAAACATTTGTATTTTCGTTTTGTAATCTGCTCACACAAACCTTTGACTTCTTTGAGAGTGTGATGAGATATTTCTCGTACTGTTCAATGCTGAAGATCAAGTTGGGGATGGCCTTTGTCTCACGCAGAAGCTTTGTCTATCAAGAGAAGCAAAAATGTTTAGTTCAGCACAGATTTACAAATGTATGGCTTGTGTATATACACATTTAATTGTTATAAATACATTTTTGTAGTTAATAGTCTCATTCTCTCTATGTATATATCTATATTTGTATGGGTATATGTATATATGTATGCATGCTTTACAGAGAAATAATTAATTTTATTATTATATAGATAATAATATAATGTGTATCTTTATTTTTTGGTGTATATTTCTAATCTCTATTTCGATCTTTCTAATTACATTTCCTCTTTGTTTTTCCCTCTTTTCCTATTTACTTAAAAAAATCACTGATGATGAAGAAATTAAGAAACTAATATTAAGTTCTTTTTTCTACTGAAGTGATAAAAAAAAAGTCTCATACTCATAAATCCAGGTTATAGTCCTTACCGAGGCAACAGTGTTCACTTCGTTCCTTTTCTTTTTCTTCTTCTCATCTGAACCTCCACCACTGAACTCTCCACCCTAACATAAAACAAAAACAGCTCTTAAAACCAGCTGGATGCTTATCATGCCTGCAGTGTGGCTGAGGCTAGCTGTACCTGTGCATATGTGATAAAGGAGTAGCACTGTGGCGTTAGGTGGGTGCCGGACAGTTTAACCTACACAGAAGACAGGAGACGTGAATTCAACATAACATTACAAATGATCTGAAGGRGAAACTGAAGAGAAACCACTTCAAACCTACCAGCTTCTCAAATCGAGCTGGCAGTGCAGCGTGCTGGTTGCTACACACCTGGATGTACTAATGTTTGGTTGAAGAGAAGGAAAACGTCAGAAAGGGCTAAATCAAAAAACACAGATACCACGCTGCACAGGTGCGTACATATTTGACCAGCGTGGTGAGGGTGGTGTAGGTGCGACTCAGTTCTCTCAGCAGCGTAATGGTGCAGGTTCCCAGCAGAACCGCCGTTTGGACGAGCTCGTTCAACGCAGTCAGGAGAGTTCCGAGCTGCAGCGTCACCGCTTTCTCCACTGGGTCCTGCTGCCCCGGAGCCTGGGAGGCCTCAGCTACACACAAAAACATTAGAGCTATTACAAACACTTTTCTGTCTAATGCATCTACTCCCATGGCTGAAAAAACAAACTAGAATTCTTACCAGAACCAGATTTATCAGATGTCTGATTTTTCTTCTTGGCAATAAGCCAGTCCACCTCGTCAAGAACTTTATCAACCTGTGACAGGACCAGCAGCTGGGGCGAAATATTCAAGTGACAAAGAAGAAGGTGAGCACACAACGCAAACCCAATCCAGGATGAAAAACACTAAATCTAAAWGTATGAAAACAACAGATGCTTACGGTTGCTGTTGATGCTGTTTTCATGTTGACGATTGCAAAATGAGACTGTTTCTCCACTTCCACATCCTGATCYCAGAGAAAGAAACGAGCGAAGTAATGAGTCGACCCAGAGGACCTTAGATTGTTACACAACTACTTACACCTATATTAAGTCTGTTGGAATACTGCATACCTTTCTGACTGTCAGAAACTTAATGACCTTTTCCTCCATCATTGTACCTCGCTTCTCATTGTATCTATATTCTCCCTCATATAACTGTCACTTAATTTTTGGACCACAATGGAAATGAGTGTTTCTCACTTTCTTGTGTTATCCAAGTACTAATAATAAATGTACTAGATGTGTATGTACATATAATATTATTGCTAAATAAAATCAAACAATCAAAGGGAAAAAAATCAAACAAACAAAAACAACTCTGGTTGTTTTCTGTTGCTGTCTTGTTAAGGCCGCCCTGTCTACCCCTAAATGTGCCACTACTTTCAACAAATGAAACAAACCCCAGCGCACTTGTATCCAATCAGACCGGAGCGGAGCAGGACGGGTCAGTAAAGCCAGCAGGTGAAGCAATTAGTAATTCAGACATAAAAAAAATCTCATAAGTTCTCTAAAAGTGTGACAGGGCCTGTTAATGTGCAACACCTATGTGGTCCTCTGGTAGTGTTGACAAAAAAATGGCGTCCCGTTGTCCCTGTCTTCTTATACTGCAGCCCACCCAGAAAAGACTTGAACACCGCAGGATAACTTTCAGTACCTGGTCAATATCGCCCAGCTGGCTGTGAATGTCCTGGCAAAGCTCCAGCAACAGACTTGCAGGACTCTTGTAGAGAACGTGCAGACTGAAGAGAAGAGACAGAAGGCCCTTGGAGAACGCCGAATCCTCTAAAACAGAACCAAAAATATATATTAGGAAACACTTTGTGGCACTTAAAAGGCACAAAAATAATGTGAACTCACCAAAACTAGTCTCCTTGCAGATTTTCACAGTCCATGTGATCATCTGCTCAAACTGTTGATTTCATAGAAACAAGCTGGATGAAATACTCTTCTTTGACTAATCAAATAGATGTGAGGCTGTACGCTACCTGTTTTGAGGAAGGCTTCAGCTGGCGTGAGAGAACAGTCAAAATGCTGACCAGCAGCTGAGCTTCTCGGCTGTTAAATTCATCCTCGCCTCCGCTCAACTGAGTGAACAGCGCCCTCTGTTGGCAGGCAAAGAAAATTGGAACTTCTGCTCTTCCACAACATTTAAAACTTTTTATAGTAAGTATTATTCATGTTTGTACCTGAAACTGTCGGATGTAAAAGTAGTTCATCTCACTAACATCATCCGGCTCTGCTTCTTCTTCTCCAACATCTGCAACAAGCAGAAGAAGATGAACCGCTGCTCATTTTCAAATCAGAAACTTCGAACTCGATACTTTGCCTAGCTAACCCATAGCAGACAGAAGTTGGGCCATTTTCTCTGGGTAGCGCTGCTGGCAGGTGGTGAAGATCCGGAGCAGACCGTCCAAACAGAGGTGGGACAAGCTGCAGCGCTTCTCCTTCTTCCCGGCCTCCTCCACCACGCTGGGGATGTTCGTGTAGCGCCACATCAGCACACTGGGAACCATTCATGCAAAGAACATTTACCAACTGGTGATGTCACAAAAAATTAAATAAACTCATAAACAGATCATCCAAAGGCTGATTTAAACCCTCAACCTCGTCATGTCGCAGAGGAAGTGGAAAGTCCTGTCTGCGTTCTGTCCATCTGGACCATCGGTGTGTCCAGTTTCTTCTAGTTGTTGAATCTTCTGAACAACTACATTTAACGCGTAACGCACAAACTCTCCGTTTGAGCGAAGCACTGAAAGAGCCTCTTCTCTGGACTGTGTATTATCCCTGGAAAAATAAATAGCTTGGATAAATATAAATTCTACCCGTTTACTCACATAAACTACAACAAACCTCACACTACAAAAACTAGTTTTAGATAAACTTTTACTGATTTTTTAAACATTAAAATGCCATAAAGTATTAACTGAATCCTCACAAAGCCGCGGGGAGTTTTTACCTGAAGAGCACGGTGATGAGAGTTGATATGAAGCTCATGGAGAGCAAACTGCGGGGGATCTTGTTTGAGGGCGCTCGACCTTTCCCAGATTTCTCCTTTAAGATCTCAGACAGTTTGTGGTAGCGGTGGAACAGCTCAATGAGCCCCTCAAAACTACCTTTACTGCAAAACAGAGAAACGTTATGAAAACGTTTCAAACAGAAATCCCACTGTAACGGCAGTGCTTTAATATGCTTCATACAGAGAAGAGCAGTTTGTTACTTGTAGTTGGATTTGATGAAGCTGTACTCCATTAGGACTTCATACATTCCCATCACGAGAACAGCATAAATATTGTTCTTCACTCCGACGCTGGATCCCAAAGAAAACTCTGCAGATTTGTCCTGAACAATTAAGACAGAATCCAGCTTAAGATATTCCCTACGACTTATTAGTAAAATTTTAAAACCTAACAGGGTTAAATAAAAAAATAAGTCGTTATTTGCAGCCTAAGTACGCATAGAAGACATATTCAGATTTAGACTTGAACATTTAAATACATTTAGAGTTTACCACATAACTCAGACTGGGTCTATCCTGATTAATGGCCCCAAGGGACACATAAACTCACCGCTTCATATAAGCATCAAGTCCCACCCAGGATATGATGTCATAATAAACAAGGTAAACAATCACAAAGTATCAAAAATTCTGTTAATCTGTGACAAAATATCTTTCAGTGCGAAACAAAGCACTAAACGTGCAACTATAAAGGTAAATGTTCTGGATGATGCAGGGTTCCTACAGCTTAAGGCAAGTTAAATTTAAGACTTTTTAATGCTTTTTAATGCAACTTGAAAGGAAATTTAAGATTAACTTTACAATAAACACAAATGTAAAAAAAAAAAGAAAAAAATTGTACCCAAATTTTTAACGCAAAACTAGCCGTGGTAAATTTGGTAAATTGTTAAAAAAAATGTTACCAATTATTTTAATATTTGAGACAAATACAGTCATCCTATTTACATTTTTAAGACTTCTGAAAGATTTATTTAAGATATTTTAAGGCTAATTAAGGCCTTATTTTTGGATTGTTGAATTCAATGCCTT